TCATCAGGTTTCCGAATGAGAAAACCAGTGTTTTCGAGATGAAAAAACTAGCTGCTGCAACTAGGGAACAGGCAGAAGGTTTCACGATCACATATGCGCTTTTCAAACTTTATGGGAAGAAAGAGGAGAAGTTATACCTACGATTGCCAACGATATGGAGAAATGTATGGGCCGAATTCGTTGAGATTGATCGTAAAAAATCTGAGGCGGAGGAAAGAAAGGTTTTGGAGCAACTCAAAAAACTTCTCGATGTTGAAAATGTTGTTAAAACGGTTTCGGAAGATAAAATCACGGCTCAGCAAGATCTAGTCCTTAATGATATCGATGAGGCTGTCGTGGAGGAGGAGCCCGGCAGGAAACCAAAACCTTCATATCAACGCTATCTAGAAGGCGATGTTCTACAACAGGATTGGTTACGTCGGCGTGAAACCTCGGAATTTCGCCGTATGGAAGAAGGCCGTCAATATCTCCCGATGTGGGGATTTCGGCAGCACATTATTGATACAGTGGAAGCTAACCCAGTGGTGGTGCTATGTGGAGAAACAGGGTGTGGAAAGAGTACTCAATTGCCAGCATTCCTTATGGAGCATGAGATTATGAATGGAAGAGTACCAAAAATATATTGTACCCAGCCTCGGCGAATATCTGCATTATCCCTGGCCCGAAGAGTAGCAGAAGAAATGGGAGAAGGGAAAGGCAGAGTCGGTGGTTTAGTGGGATACGCAATTCGGCTAGAGAATATGGTAACTGATGCAACAAGGCTAGTGTATGCTACAACGGTAAGTACAGATTCTGCGTTGGATCAAAATGCCTATGCTAATAGCCAACAAGGGTATCGTTATGAGGATGTTGGAGAGAAGCACCTCGCTTGATGATATTACTCATCTAGTGCTCGATGAGGTACACGAACGGAGTATTGAAAGCGACTTCTTGCTTGTAGTGCTAAAGAGGTTGCTTGTGAAGCGGAAAGACCTCAAGTAAGTAACTTCAATTTAAACCGATGAAATGACTAATATTATTAGGGTCATTCTGATGTCTGCAACTGTTAACGCTGAAGCATTCTCAGACTACCTTGGAGGAGCGCCAATCTTGAGAGTTCCTGGGCGAACATTTCCTGTTCAGGAATTCTATTTGGAAGATGCTGTTGAGACTACCAAATACACGGCGGAAGATGAGAAACGGAACTCCAAGAAACGTGGGAATAATTGGGAGGATAATGATGCTGAGATTGATGAGTCGGCAAGCGGAAACATTGCTGGAAATCTCCAAGCCTACCGGCCAGAAACTCGTGCAACATTGAATAAGATGGATCAATACCAAATACCGTACGAGCTTATCGTACAGCTGCTCGAGAAAATAGCAACATCACCAGAGTTTGTCGATTATTCAAGGGCAATTCTCATCTTCCTACCGGGTTTGGGAGAGATACGACGACTAAACGACATGATCCTCGGTCATCCGTTCTTTGGTTCCCATGGTCGTTATGGGGGTGGCGGTGGCGGCTGGCTTGTTCACATGCTTCATTCTACGATTGCTTCTGAGGATCAAGAACAAGCATTCCTTATACCACCAGAAGGCATGCGTAAGATTGTCTTGTCTACAAATATTGCTGAGACTGGTGTTACCATTCCCGATGTGACCGCAGTCATTGATACAGGGAAACACAAGGAAATGCGTTTCGATGAGAAGCGACAGCTTTCTCGACTGGTGGAGACGTTTATATCTAAAGCAAATGCAAAACAACGTCGTGGTCGCGCTGGTCGTGTACAAGCTGGAATCTGCTGGCATCTGTTCACCAAGGAGCGATATGAAACATCGTTGGCAGATCAGCAAACGCCAGAGATCCTTCGTCTTTCTCTTCAGGATCTAGTCCTTCGGGTAAAAATCTGTGGCTTGGGAAATGTCGAAGAGGTTCTCACGTCCGCTCTGGATTCCCCAACGCCAAAGAACATTCGACGAGCAGTGGATTCCCTAGTAGAAGTAAAAGCACTATCAGCATCAGAAGAACTCACCCCTCTCGGTAGACAACTTGCTAAGCTTCCTCTGGACGTCTACCTTGGCAAACTAGTTCTTCTAGGTTCCATTTTCTCCTGCTTAGACGCCACTGTCACTATGGCTGCACTCCTCTCCTCTAAATCACCCTTCATCTCACCGATTGGTTATCAAGCTGAAGCTGCGAGCTGTCGTCTCTCCTTCAAACGTGGAGACTCTGATCTACTAACAGGTTGGAACGCCTACTCTGCATGGAGACGCATCTGCACAACAAAGGGTTTGGGCATAAACGAAGGCGATTTCTGTCGCAAGAACTACCTCTCCTCGCGCACCCTATCCGGAATTGAGGATCTGAAAGCTCAACTTTTCGCTTCCTTGGTTGATGCAGGCTTTCTTTCTCTCAACTCCACTGAACGCTCCGCTCTTAATCGAGCACGGTACTCTTCTTACCGTCGCACAACCTTCTTCATTCCCCCTGAGCACACCAATGTCAACTCCAGCAATGACCCGATAGTTTCGTCCGCCATTGCTGCCGCCTTCTACCCAAAGCTCCTCGTACGCGAGGGTGGTGGCTGGCGCAACATCGTTGGTGCTGGCAAGATTGTACGTGTGCACCCACAAAGTATCAACAAGCACGCGGATTTGGACATAGAGTGGCTTGCATACTACGGTCTAATGCAGAGTCGAGGCTATGGCTTTGACGCACAAGAGACCTCGCGTGTAGATGCGGTTGTGGTTGCGCTAGTGTGTGGCGAAGTTGAGTGGCGCTTATGGCCTGGTGTGCAGAACATCGATGGCAATCGTGTCAGGTTCTCAATGGCGGACTGGAGGGCTCTGATGGCAGTGAAGATGCTGCGGTCACGCGTGCGGGATATTATTAATAGAACGTGGAAGACACCAGAGAAAGAGTTGACTCCGACACAGACGGCGTGGATGGAGTGTTTTTGGGAGGTTTTTGAAGGATTGAACAGGATGAAGAAAAAGGATTAGGGTCTTTTTCCTTCTTTTTTCGCTGGGATAGATTGAACGCTTTGCTTTTCTTTATTGCAGATGGGTATACGGGCTGGTGCGGGAATTTTTATTGTCATCGAGTGGATGCATTATTTTTCGGGACTGGACCCGAGGCAAAAAAGAGCGTAGAATATGAAGTTTGCACCATTTTGGAATTGCATCTAGATGCGCACCGAATACTCGTAATATGGTCCAAGTGGCAGTGATGGTACCTGTGATACACGTCGAAAGACCTCGTCTATCTATTCCTCTTTGCCCTTATCTTTTCCACTGCCTTTTCATAAACCTTCATTCTTTACTTAGTAAGTTTGCATCCCCTTAATGTTCAAAGTAGTTGATGAGATCTATAGCAGTACTATTTGGGAAAGAATTGGTGTCTAGAGCTGAGTAAACGAAGCTGCCATTTACGTGTTTGCTGCACTTTTCCAGATTATACACTGTTTTGTGCGAAATCCGGGTCGCAAAAAAGCAGAATCGAATATAAGAGCCTACGAGATGGAATTATCAGAAAACGGCACCATGGGCGATCCATAATAAGAAGCGAGAATTCAATTAGATGAAAGAAGAACACCAAAAGCGACATAGGGTACAAATTTGCGCTTATCACGACCGCTGTGTAAATATTCGTCCGAAAACCACCACCTTAATGTATCCACAGTCGTTCAAATCCTTGTCCAGCACGGGCACGCCCGGCCCGAAGTGGCCGGCGTTGCATTGCCGGCATCCACAACCCGCGGCCCTGATCAGGATTGAAGACAATCTCGGCACCGCCTGCGCGATGTAGCAGATCCAGCGTCCGTGACTTTCGCAGCTTCCAATGATCCAGAAGTCGCGGGTGGCACAGCCTTCATTGGCGGCCTGCCCGGCCGCAGCGACGTCGCAGTTCTTGGTGCGCACTGCGCCGGTCCCGCCGGCACCAGTGACGACACAGCCCGGCGAGGTGTGGAGCACGATGTTGTTCTCCGCCATGGTGTTGACGCCCTCCATGATGTCGATCTCGCCGCTGCTGGGCCAGTTGGGGCCGAAGGTCCAGAAGGCGGGCCAGAAGCCGCAGGCCGCTGGGACGTGTGTGGCGTCCAGCAGGAAGAGGCCGTGGGTGTACCGTTTCTTGGATTCGAGGCGCACGGCTTTGCGGCCGGCGCCAAAGATCCAGAAGACGGGCTAGACGCCGCAGATGGGTGGCTCCATATGAGCTGTATACAGCAACAGGCTTGTGGCGACTGTCGTGATTGTGGCGGATGTAGCCGATGTGGGAGAGGAGGAAATCCCTGGGTTCGCGGCTGTCACTGATGTATTCAGCGTCTCGCACTTGTAACAGAGTGTCATAGAAGAGGGGCTTCAATGGGAGTATTTAATGGGGAATTCAAAATGGATTGAGGGGTTTAGTGGATGTTGTTGTTGGTGAGGGCCGACGAGAGTCACTGTGTTTTTGAAGGGGTTCAGGTCGATATACTGCTGCACTGGAATTTTTAACACCGAGGTGCACTAGGAACAGGTGTTGGTCGGAAAGAATTCTAATAGTAGTAGATACTCTTAAATATTACAATAATCGTACATCACAATTCTTAGCTGCAACAACATGGCTGACGCAGAGCGGTGGCTGTGTAGTACAGTCTATAACCCCCGTGTCAGGGACAAATCTAGGTGCCGTGTCGGAGAGAGTGATCGTGAAAGTGTCTGTGAACAGATGATCCGTGGTAGTGCAATTGTGGACCGCGGTCTTGATGGATGTAGTGCTGCCAATTCGAGTGATTTGCGAGGTCCGATCGATATTGGCTGTTAATTCCCGGAATGCCAGAACCACTTTCAGTAGCTGGATGACGTAGTGAAGCTTCATTTCACGGATCGATTTTAAGATGGATGTGACTGTATGAGAGCGACACACAAGTGCGATATGTAGCTGCAGACCCGAGCCCTCAGCCCATGAACATCGAATGAAGGCTCACATATGCGGTCGTTTGGCATAAAGATAGAAAGGACATCATGAAGTATCAATCGATTCAGTAGTGTAGGGGTATCATGGGCGCTTGCCAATCAGCTTCCAGACTGACCGCATTCTGCGCCCGACCCGGGTTCAAATCCCGGCTGAATCAGATGTTCTTTTTGGCTTTTTGTTTTGAAGATGATAGGCGTTCTGGAGCTTGGGTTGTCTGCCGTCGTGGCGGCGGCGGTCGGGTTGAGGGTGTGGGATACAGTGGATCAAAATCTAGGGGACCCAAGATGAACTTAGTCATTTTAGAGTTTTGCAGATGCTTGTTTTTCACAAAATCCAATGACTTAGAGCAATTCCCGTAGTGCCTGAACACATCTGGTGACCTGTAGGATCTGGAGGTCTCTAGTAAAGGCAAAGCTCTGGATATTACAAAAAGGCATGGTAAACATATTTCGGGCATATTCAGCGTACAAATTCTTCAAATTCTTACAACACAACTCAAATACAGTCTTTAAAATCATAATAAATGGATTCCCAACTGAGATGTTGCGAAGCCTTCCGCAAATCCTTCTCCGTTCCTGGTGGCGCTACCTGTACCGCTTCCTCAGCTCCTCACCATGGTTGCTACACAACCCCATTTCACAATCGACTCTCGAATCATCTCCTGATCCTCCCGCCCCACCCCCGCCAAGTCTAATGGAATCCCCACCGCGGACATATCCGGTCCCGGCCACAGCAGCACCACGCCACCATTACGTGTGACATAATTCACTGATCGCGCCCTGATCTGCGTCTCTTGCGTCTTTAGAATCATCGTCTGTTCCTCCCGCTCCACCCCGGCCTTGTCTAATGGAATCATCACCGTCCTATCCGGCCCACACCGCCAGAACAGCACCAATTCACCAGCAATTCTGTCATACAGCACTGATGGCTTACAGCGAGTCTCTTCTGACCTCGACGCCCTCGGCGTCTCTTGCGGCTTCGGCGACGCTCGGGACGTTAAACTCACTCCCCGCTCCCCCTCCTCCTCGTAGGTTTCGCTGCCAATCTCAATGTCACCGCGGCATTTGGAGTTGCTAGGTTCCGTGACATGGGTAGGATTGCGTTGAAGATTCATTTGATTTGCCGGTTTGGTGTGGATTTCGGGGGCTTCGGGCGGTTTGGAAGGGTTCGGAGGGTTGTGGGGGTTGTGGAAGTTGTAGTTGGGGGATCGGGTACTCGTGGCTTTCGGCGGCGCACGGGGCGTTAAACCCACTTCCCCCTCCTCCTCCTCGCGGGTTTCGCTGCCAATCTCAATGTCACCGCGGCATTTGGAGTTGCTAGGTTCCGCGACATGCACAGGATTGCGTTGAGGATCCATGTGAGCCGGATTGGTGTGGATTATGGGGGTTTCGGGGACTTCAGGAGGGTTAAAAGGGTTGCGGGGGTTGCGGGAGTTGTGGTTGTTGTGGTTGTTGTGGGACGAGGATCGAGTGGCTCTGGAGGGCGGGGGAGCGGGAGCATGAGGAGGGGAACAGGTGCAGGAGGGGAAAGAGAGGTCGGAGCAAGAGAGGGAGGGATCGGGTAAGACGGGACCGGCGGAGATGGCGGCATCAGAGTTGCGACGAGGCCTGGAGGAAGAATCGGGCGAAGTATTTTTGTCCGATTGGATGATGTGGTTAGGCGTGTTGTCGGACATGGTGTGTGGTAAAGAAAGGAATAGAGGGAGAGCTCGAGGGTTGCGGGCGAAAGGGTTATATAGTGCTGTAGGTATGGAGGCAAGTTGCGTATATATGCTGATGTTATACGGCTTCTGGCTTCAGGAGTGATGTTTGGCCAGGACAAACAAATCTTCCAGGCTGCAGGTAGATATAGTCAATTGATTTATTCAAACGCAGTCCCTTCAAAGGACAGCCCCAGGGTGGGAAAGATATAGTGCAGCGCTGGTATTTCTTTTGGCTCTGTGGGTGTGCACTGGATGAGGACGACAGTAGGTAAGGTCAAGGACATAGCTGCGCACATATATCAATCATCTGGCTAGACATACTGGATTCCGACGCACACACACCGTTTCTAGCGCCCTTGTTCCTTCGTATATAGCATAAACAGTCACAGTATATCAATCGATTCAGTAGTGTAGGGGTATCATGGGCGCTTGCCAATCAGCTTCCAGACTGACCGCATTCTGCGCCCGACCCGGGTTCAAATCCCGGCTGAATCAATTTAATTTTTGCTTTTCGTTGATATGTTTGTCCTTTTTGGAGCTTGGGTTTGGTTCAGGTTGTGGGTGTGGGATACGGCGGAGCAAAAGTTAGGGAAGCCAAGATTGTCATGTTACAGTGTTGGTGCTTGCAGGTTTAGTAAATGTTTTTCACAAAATCCAATAGCTTAGAGCTTTTCCCGTAGTGCTTGGACACAAACGTGTTTTCGCTGTGGAACGGATCTAGAGGTCTCTAGGAAAGCCAAAGCTCTGGATGTTGACAGAACAACCAAGGATACGTATTTGTATTGTATTATCAGCGACGATTTGTAAGTAACAGAGTAAGTTCAGAGAACACAGGCAAGTAAAAGCTAAGCAGCCGACAAAGTGACTAAACAAAAACGATAAAACCAAGTGACATTTGGTGTAGATGTTGCACCGCCAACATTGGATATTATATCAAAGCATGGTAGACACATTTCGGGCATATATATATTCAGGGCACAAAATCTTCAGATTTGTATAACAGAACTTAAATACAGTCGGTATAATTATGATTGCCACAAACGCAATGTTGCGTATCCTTCCGCAAATCCTTCTCCGTTCCCGGTGGCGCTACCTCCGCCGCCTCCTTGCCACCACGTTTAATAAAACCCTCGAGCCCTAGCGATCTCGTGACTTTCTCCCAAACACCAGGGGACATCGCCGCCTTGTCTGACTTAATCGTTACCACCTCGCCCCCCTCAATCGTCAACAGTAGCACCAAGCTACCATCTTCATCTATGAGTCCCTCGAACGTGTTCTTCCGTGTCTTTTGCAGCTTCGACAGCGCTCTCTGCGTCTCTTGTAGCGTCTCGTGTAGCGTCTTCTGCGTCTCGCGTAGCGTCTTCTGCGTCTCGCGTAGTCTCAGTGCCGTTTGCGATTCTTGTGGTTCAGGCGACGCTGGGGGCGTGAAAATCACTTCCCCATCCGAATCCTCACGGCAGGTTTCGCTGCCAATCTCAATGCCTTGGGGGTGCTCGTGGCGGCGTTTGGAGATGTTAGGTTCCGTGACATGGCCAGGATTGTGTCGTCGGGACTGCTTTCGCATTGCGGAGGCCATGGCGTTAAGGTCCCTTTGAGTTGCCCGTGTGGTGTGGATTTTGGGGGGCTCGGGGGGTTTGGGGGGGTTGTGGGGTTTGTAGGGGTTACGGTGGTTGTGGGTCGGGGATCGGGTGCTCATAGGTCTTGAATGAGGATGGGCGGCCCCGGGAGTAGCATGAGAATTGAAAGGGAGATTGAGGTCTTTGAAGACGTCATCAGGGTTGCGATGACGCTTGGAGGAAGAATTGGCCGGAGTATTTGGGTCTGATTTGACGATGTAGTTGATCTCGTAGTAAGTGTCGCCGGACATGGTGTGTGGTACTGGTGGGGGAAGGAAGAGAGGCAGAGAGGGTTTCCGGCGAAGGAAATATATAGTACTGTGGGTATGGGTGCAAGATGCGTATATGTGCTGATAGTATATGGCTTCTGGCTTCAGGGAGTGGTTTTTGGGGCCGGGACAAACAAATATATCGGGCTGCATGCTGGTGAAAATAGTCTATGTATTTATTGAAACCCAGGCCCTTCAATAGACTGCAGCAGCTGTACTTCTTTATTCGGTTTATACCCAGAAGGGCCCCGTACTCCAATAACCACCCTGCAACCCAATAATGGCGGCCCTATTGCTGTTATACAACATCCCTATTACTCAAGTCTATTACTGTTATATAACTGCTATCACTCATTGATGTCCCCAAGTGGTGCAGGCCGCCCTCACCACCACCACACGCCCGACACCCCCAGTATCTCACCAAGCTGCCCACCCGTTTAGGACAACTTCGCCACCACGATTTTAATCAGTAGCTCAAAAGATACCCTAGCCGTGAAGATGGCATACATATACAGCGAGCAGAAGATCTCTCAGGGGGCAGGAGAGTTGGAAAGTTGGAGGGGGTGGGGGGGTTCCATGAGCGGGAGTATGTCCTCGAAAGCGGTGGGAGGGTGTTACGAGAATGAGCATACTCTAGTTAGCGAGTGCTATGGATTTTATGGGGTGTGGATAACAAACAGTAGCTAGGGTGGGTCAAGGAAATATGTGCGTATACATATCAATCCTCAAACTAAAAACACAAAATTCCAACGCATACACACCCTTTCTGGCGCCCCACCCCCCTCGTGTACACCACAAACATTCACAGTACATCAATCGATTCAGTAGTGTAGGGGTATCATGGGCGCTTGCCATTCAGCTTCCAGACTGACCGCATTCTGCGCCCGACCCGGGTTCAAATCCCGGCTGAATCAATTTTTTTCATCCGTTGCCTTCTCTGACATGAGATTACTTTTTGTTACTGGTGGTGTCGTTGGTGGGCGGTGTTCTGGTTTGGGTGTGGGGTTGCCTCACGACCCAAAAACCCCGTTCAACAACAACAACAACAGCACGAACCCAGTCAGAATACAAAACAATTCTCACAAACGCCAGAGGAAAATCAGTAGCTACTCAAGATAGCAAGGAGCCAAGAACTAGCGAAGAGTCGGGTAAGTAGTGGTAGCAGTAGTTCCAACCGGCCGTGAGTCTGACTTGAGTTGCGAGCATGGATAGGTCTCACAACATCGTTAGGTTAATATCAACGGATCATGCCCAGAACAACCCCGCTGGAGGCAGTAATGCACAGAATGACCCTTCTTAAAAACAAAAGCCCAATTGCCCTGATGTCCCCTCACTGTGCCGCCCAAGGGCACTCTCCTGTCGGCCGCCCAAGGCAACAATTTTATGCAACCAGGGCCCGCCTCCAAAAATTATATCCACGCCCACAGATCCAGATCCGTGCTGCCGCAACCGCGCCCAGGGCATCCAAAAACGTGCGTCCCGGCCGGTATCCCATGAACCCTCGTGTCACCCACCGAAGGGCACTCTCCTGTCGTCCACCCATAAACGGCCGGCTGGAGGGTCTCCGGGC